GTGTGTGGTGTGTGTGTGGTGTGTGTGTGTGTGGTATGATGTGTGTGGTATGATGTGTGTGGTATGATGTGTGTGGTATGATGTGTGTGGTATGATGTGTGTGGTATGATGTGTGTGGTGTGTGTGTGTGTGGTATGATGTGTGTGGTATGACGCGTGTGGTGTGACGCTTCCCCCCTCCGCAGCGTTCCCCCGCAAGGTGCTGGCCGTGCTGGTGGCTCCCAGCTTCCTGCTCGTGGTGTGTGTAGTGTGTTGTGTGTGTGGTGTGTGTGTGGTGTGTGTGGTATGATGTGTTGTGTGTGTGTGTGGTATGATGTGTGTGGTATGATGTGTGTGGTATGACGTGTGTGGTGTGTGGTGTGACGCTTCCCTCCGCAGCGTTCCCCCGCAAGGTGCTGGCCGTGCTGGTGGCTCCCAGCTTCCTGCTCGTGGTGTCTGCCCAGGCGTGCCTCTCCGCCATTATCGCTGGACTTTCCACGTTCCTCGGCAAGTTCCTGGAGACTCAGTTCGGCGCCTCCGCCTCGTACGCCAACCTGCTGATCGGTAAACAACAACAACAACAACAACATCAACAACAACATCAACAACATCAACAACAACAACAACATCAACAACAACGACATCAACAACGACATCAACAACATCAACAACAACATCAACAACAACATAATCAACAACATCAACAACATCAACAACATCAACAACAACATCATCAACAACAACAACATCAACAACAACATCAACAACAACAATAACAACAGCAACAACAACATCAACAACAACAACACACAACATCAACAACAACAACAACATCAACAACAACACACAACAACAACTACAAGTCACAACAATATCAACAACAACAACATCAACAACAACAACATCAACAACAACAACAACATCAACAACAACAACAACATCAACAACATCAACAACAATAACAACAGCAACAACAACATCAACAACAACAACACACAACATCAACAACAACAACATCAACAACAACACACAACAACAACTACAAGTCACAACAATATCAACAACAACAACATCAACAACAACAACATCAACAATAACAACATCAACAACAACAACAACATCAACAACAACAACATCAACAACAACAACACTAACAACAACAACATCAACAACAACAACATCATCAACAACAACATCAACAACAACATCAACAACAACAACATCAACAACAACATCAACAACAACATCAACAACAACAACATCAACAACAACATCAACAACAACACACAACAACATCAACAACAACATCAACAACAACAATAACATCAACAACAACAACAACATCAACAACAAAAATAACAACAACATCAACAACAACAACAACATCAACAACAACATCAACAACAACATCAACAACAACAACAAGTCACAACGCAGACGTCAACACACGTAACAGTGCTGAAAACAGCACAGAGAACACCATCACTAACACCACTAACACCACCACCACTAACACCACCACTAACACCACCACCACTAACACCACCACTAACACCACCACCACTAACACCACCACTAACACCACCACCACTAACACCACCACTAACACCACCACCACTAACACCACCACTAACACCACCACCACTAACACCACCACTAACACCACTAACACCACCACCACCACCACTAACACCAACACTAACACCACCACCACTAACACCACTAACACCACCACTAACACCACTAACACCACTACTAACACCACCACTAACACCACCACCACTAACACCACCACTAACACCACTAACACCACTACTAACACCACCACTAACACCACCACTAACACCACCACTAACACCACTAACACCACCACTAACACCACTACTAACACCACCACTAACACCACTAACACCATCACTAACACCACCACTAACACCACCACTAACACCACCACTAACACCACCACTAACACCACTAACACCACCACCACCACTAACACCACCACTAACACCATCACTAACACCACTAACACCACCACTAACACCACTACTAACACCACTAACACCACCACTAACACCACTACTAACACCATCACTAACACCACTAACACCACCACTAACACCACTAACACCACCACTAACACCACTACTAACACCACCACTAACACCACCACTAACACCACCACTAACACCACTAACACCACCACCACCACTAACACCATCACTAACACCACCACCACCATCACTAACACCACTAACACCAGAACCACTAACACCACCACTAACACCACCACCACCACTAACACCACCACTAACACCACCACCACCACTAACACCACCACCACTAACACCACTAACACCACCACTAACACCACTAACACCACCACTAACACCACCACTAACACCATCACTAACACCACTAACACCACCACCACTAACACCACTAACACCACCACTAACACCACCACCACCACTAACACCACTAACACCACCACTAACACCACTACTAACACCACCACTAACACCACCACCACCACTAACACCACCACCACTAACACCACCACTAACACCACCACTAACACCACTAACACCACCACTAACACCACTACTAACACCACCACTAACACCACTAACACCACTAACACCACCACCACTAACACCACCACTAACACCACCACCACCACCACCACTAACACCACCACTAACACCACCACTAACACCATCACTAACACCACCACCACTAACACCACCACTAACACCACTAACACCACCACCACTAACACCACCACCACTAACACCACCACTAACACCACTAACACCACCACCACTAACACCACCACTAACACCACTAACACCACCACCACCACTAACACCACCACCACTAACACCACCACTAACACCACCACTAACACCACTAACACCACCACCACCACCACTAACACCACCACTAACACCACCACTAACACCACCACCACTAACACCACCACTAACAACACTAACACCACCACCACTAACACCACCACCACCACTATCACCGCCACTAACACCTCCACTACCACCACTAACACCACCACCACTAACACCACTAACACCACCACTAACACCACCACTAACACCACCACCACCACTAACACCACCACCACTAACACCACCACTAACACCACCACTAACACCACCACTAACACCACTAACACCACCACCACCACCACCACTAACACCACCACTAACACCACCACTAACACCGCCACCACTAACACCACCACTAACAACACTAACACCACCACCACTAACACCACCACCACCACTATCACCGCCACTAACACCTCCACTACCACCACTAACACCACCACCACTAACACCACTAACACCACCACTAACACCACCACTAACACCACCACTAACACCACTAACACCACCACTAACACCACCACCACTAACACCACCACCACTAACACCACCACCACTAACACCACCATCACTAACACCACCACCACTAACACCACCACTAACACCACTAACACCACCACCACTAACACCACCAACACTAACACCACCACTAACACCACCACTAAGACCACCACCACCACCACTAACACCACCACTAACACCACCACTAACACCACCACCACTAACACCACCACTAACAACACTAACACCACCACCACTATCACCGCCACTAACACCTCCACTACCACCACTAACACCACCACCACTAACACCACTAACACCACCACTAACACCACCACTAACACCACCACTAACACCACCACCACCACTAACACCACCACCACTAACACCACCACTAACACCACCACTAACACCACCACTAACACCACTAACACCACCACCACCACCACTAACACCACCACTAACACCACCACTAACACCACCACCACTAACACCACCACTAATAACACTAACACCACCACCACTAACACCACCACCACCACTATCACCGCCACTAACACCTCCACTACCACCACTAACACCACCACCACTAACACCACTAACACCACCACTAACACCACCACTAACACCACCACTAACACCACTAACACCACCACTAACACCACCACCACTAACACCACCACTAACACCACCACTATCACCGCCACTAACACCTCCACTACCACCACTAACACCACCACCACTAACACCACTAACACCACCACTAACACCACCACCACCACTAACACCACCACTAACACCACCACTAACACCACCACTAACACCACCACCACCACCACTAACACCACCACTAACACCACCACTAACACCACCACTAACACCACCACCACTAACATCACCACCACCACCACTATCACCACCACTAACACCACCACCACTAACACCACTTACACCACCACTAACACCACCAGCACCACCACCACCACCACTAACACCACCACTAACAACACAAACAACACCACAAACAACAACACAAACAACAACACAATCAACAACAACAACACCACCACTAACAACACAAACAACAACAACAACACCACAAACAACAACACAAACAACACCACAAACAACACCACAAACAACACCACTAACACCACCACTAACACCACCACCACTAACACCACCACGAACACCACCACGAACACCACCACTAACACCACAAACAACACCACAAACAACACAAACAACACCACAAACAACACCACAAACAACACCACAAACAACACCACAAACAACACCACAAACAACAACACAAACAACACCACAAACAACACCACTAACACCACCACTAACACCACCACCACTAACACCACCACGAACACCACCACTAACACCACAAACAACGCCACAAACAACAACACAAACAACACCACAAACAACACCACAAACAACAACACAAACAACACCACAAACAACACCACAAACAACACCACAAACAACAACACAAACAACACCACAAACAACAACACAAACAACACCACAAACAACACCACAAACAACAACACAAACACCACCACTAACACCACCACTAACACCACAAACAACACCACAAACAACACCACCACCAACACCACAAACAACAACACAAACAACACCACCACCAACACCACAAACAACAACACAAACAACACCACCACCAACACCACAAACAACACCACAAACAACACCACCACCAACACCACAAACAACAACACAAACAACAACACAAACAACACCACTAACACCACCACTAACAACACAAACAACACCACAAACAACACCACCACCAACACCACAAACAACAACACAAACAACACCACCACCAACACCACAAACAACAACACAAACAACACCACCACCAACACCACAAACAACACCACAAACAACACCACCACCAACACCACAAACAACAACACAAACAACACCACAAACAACAACACAAACAACACCACAAACAACAACACAAACAACACCACAAACAACAACACAAACAACAACACAAACAACAACACAAACAACAACACAAACAACACCACAAACAACCCCACAAACAACAACACAAACAACACCACAAACAACAACACAAACAACAACACAAACAACACCACAAACAACACCACAAACAACACCACAAACAACAACAACACCACAAACAACACCACAAACAACACCACAAACAACACCACAAACAACACCACAAACAACAACACAAACAACACCACAAACAACACCACAAACAACAACACAAACAACACCACAAACAACACCACAAACAACAACACAAACAACAACACAAACAACAACACAAACAACAACAACACCACAAACAACACCACAAACAACAACACAAACAACAACACAAACAACACCACAAACAACAACACAATCAACAACAACAACACCACAAACAACAACACAAACAACAACACAAACAACACCACAAACAACAACAACAACACCACAGGTAACAATCAGCACACACACACACACGTGCCATGAGGGTTGATGGTAAACATCACTACGATTGATGGCGATAATTGTTGTTGTTGTTGTGTTTACTGTTGTTGTGACTCACTCACATGCTCACCCACTCACTCACTCACCCACTCACCCACCAACCCACCCACTCACTCACCCACTGACCCACCAACTCACTCACTCACCCACCCACCCACTCAATCACTGACCCACCCACCAACCCACCAACCCACCCACCCACTCACCCACTGACCCACCCATTCACCCACCCACCCACTCACTCACCCACCAACTCACTCATTCACTGACCCACCCAATCACCCACTCACTCACCCACCAACCCACCCACCAACCCACCCACTCACTCACTGACCCACCCACCAACCCACCCTCCCACCCACTCACTCACCCACCAACCCACTCACCCACTGACCCACCCATTCACCCACCCACCCACCCACTCACCCATCAATCCACTCACTCACTCATCCACCCACTCACCCACCCACTCACCCACCCACCCACCCATCCACCAACCCACCCACCCACCCACTCACTCACCCACCAACCCACTCACCCACTGACCCACCCATTCACCCACCCACCCACTCACCCATCAATCCACTCACTCACTCACCCACCCACTCACCCACCCACTCACCCACCAACCCACCCACCCACCCACCCACTCCCCCACTCACTCACCCACCAATGCATTCACTCACTCACCCACCCACCAACCCACCCACCAACCCACCCACCCACCAACCCACCCACCACCCCACCTACCCACCCCACCCACCACCCGCCCAGGCTCCCTGAACCTGCCCGGCGCGGCCCTGGGCATCCTGGCGGGCGGCGTGCTGATGAGGAGGTGGTGTGGTGGAGGTGGAGGAGGAGGTGGAGGACGTGGTGGTGGTGGTGGTGGAGGTGGTGGTGGTGGTGGAGGTGGTGGTGTTGGTGGTGGTGGTGTTGGTAGTGGTGCTGGTGGTGGTGGTGAAGGTGGTGGTGTTGGAGGTGGTGGTGGTGGTGATGGTGGTGGTGGTGTTGGAGGTGGTGGTAGTAGTGGTGGTGTTGGTGGTGGTGGTGATGGTGGTGTTGGTGTTGTTGTTGTTGTTGGTGGTGGTGGTGGTGGTGTTGGTGGTGGTGGTGATGGTGGTGTTGGTGGTGTTGTTGTTGTTGGTGGTGGTGATGGTGGTGTTGGTGGTAGTAGTGGTGGTGGTGGTGTTGGTGGTAGTAGTGGTGTTGTTGTTGGTGGTGGTGGTGTTGGTGGTGGTGTTGGTGGTGTTGTTGGTGTTGGTGGTGGTGTTGTTGTTGTTGGTGTTGATGGTGGTGGTGGTGGAGTTCACGTAGCGGCGCTCATCGCCGTGGTGGTGCTGGTCGTGTCGCTGGCTCTGTCCCTGCCGCTGCCGCTCCTCGGCTGCTCGTCCCCACCCGTCGCTGGGGTCAGCGTTGGGTTCAACGGCAGGTGGGTGGGGGCCTGTGGGGTGGGTGGGGTGGTGGGGTGGGGTGGGGTGAGTGGGGTGGGGTGGGTGGGGTGGTGGGGTGGGGTGGGGTGGGTGGGTGGGGTGGGTGGGGTGGGTGGGGTGGGTGGGGTGAGTGGGGTGGGGTGAGTGGGGTGGGGTGAGTGGGTGGGGTGGGGTGAGTGGGGTGGGGTGAGTGGGTGGGGTGGGGTGAGTGGGTGGGGTGGGGTGAGTGGGTGGGGTGGGGTGAGTGGGTGGGGTGAGTGAGTGGGGTGGGGTGAGTGGGTGGGGTGGGGTGTGTGGGTGGGGTGGGGTGGGTGGGGTGAGTGGGGTGGGGTGAGTGGGGTGAGTGGGGTGGGGTGAGTGAGTGGGGTGGGGTGGGGTGGGTGGGTGGGGTGAGTGGGGTGGGTGGGGTGGGGTGAGTGGGTGGGGTGGGGTGGGTGGGGTGAGTGGGGTGGGTGGGGTGGGGTGAGTGGGTGGGGTGAGTGGGGTGGGGTGGGTGGGGTGAGTGGGGTGGGTGGGGTGGGGTGAGTGGGTGGGGTGGGGTGGGTGGGGTGAGTGGGGTGGGTGGGGTGGGGTGAGTGGGTGGGGTGGGGTGGGGCCGGGTGAGTGGGGTGGGGTGAGTGGGGTGAGGTGAGTGGGTGGGGTGGGTGGGTGGGTGGGGTGGGTGGGGTGGGTGGGGTGGGTGGGGTGAGTGGGGTGGGGTGGGGTGGGTGGAGTGGGGTGGGGGTCTGTGGGGTGGGTGGGTGGGGTGAGTGGGTGGGGTGCGACAGGGATGTCCTCTGGCTCCCACATTATTTAACATCTATTTTGACCACGTAGTTTGTGAAGCCTTCAATAGCTGTACCGGGGGAATCTCCATATGGTACAGATATAATGGGAGGCTGATCGACGCCCGGGTGCGGTCAAGGGATGGCTCCCTATTGCTCAACCACGTTATGTATGCTGATGACTTGGTAATAGCTGCTCAGTCAGAGGAGGAGTTGGAGACGCTGCTGCTGAGACTGGAGCGTGCCACTAAGAGGTGGGGCCTTACCATCAGCCCCACCAAAACTAAGCACCTGCCTGGGTATTTTGTACCATCGGACACTCCACCCCCACAACTCCCAATCGGTGATGGGGCAGTTGTGGAGAGAGTGGAGAGTTTCCCATACCTGGGCAGTGTGCTTATGACTGGCTCCAGTTTAACAGCAGAGGTCTCACTCCGAATCAGTCGAGCGGCAATATCTTTTCATCGGTTGCGTAACGCTGTGTGGAAGCTACCTGGTCTGTCGCTCCGCACTAAGCTTCAGGTCTTCTCGGCCACGGTCATTCCCTCCCTTCTCTACGCTTGCGAAACGTGGACCCCCCTAATGGAATATCATCGCCGGTTAGAAACATTTAGGCTGGCCTGCCTACGATCCATCCTGGGTTTAACCAGACTGGATTGTGTGAGGAGCTCCTCCGGCGGGCAAGGCTGCGATGGCTGGGTCATGTAGCCCGCATGCCCAGCCACCGCATGCCGAAACAGCTTTTGTTTGGCCGGATCGAGGGGGCTAAACGGGCGCGGCACGGGCGAGAGAAGAGATGGAGTGACGTGGTACAGGAGGACGTGGAGCTGAGTGGACTTGCCGATGACTGGTACCAGCGGTGTCAAGATCGGCCTCTGTGGAGGAGGCTCGTGGAGGACGCTGCTGGGCAGTTGGAGGCAGTCGCCCTCCAACAACAACGGAGGGCGGAGGAGCGACGCTCACAACAACGAGCGGAGCGCCGGGTGGCTAAAGCACAGCGGGTTGGCACAGTAGGGGGCACAGGTGGTGCATCAGCCAGTCATCTCAGTCAGTCGACCCTTGGCACCTGGGTCTGCCCCGTGACCTCCTGCCAGCGGGCGTTCGACACTTCACGTGGCCTCAGGGTGCACATAGCCTGGCACAAGCGTCGTGGTGACGTCACCGCCACTTAGTGGCGAATGGCGGTTGTTGTTGTTGTTGTGGGTGGGGTGGGGTGGGTAGGGTGGGGTAGGTGAGTGGGTGGGTGGGTGAGTGAGTGAGTGGGTCGGTGATTGTGTGGGTGGGTGGCTTTGGTGAGTGGTTGGGTGAGTGCGTGGGTGGGTGAGTGGGTGGGTGAGTGGATGAGTGAGTGGGTGGGTGGGTGGGTGAGTGGGTGGGTGGCTGAGTTGGTGGGTCGGTGGTTGTGTGGGTGGGTGGCTTTGGTGAGTGGTTGGGTGAGCGAGTGGGTGGGTGGGTGAGTGGTTGGGTGAGTGAGTGGTTGGGTGAGTGGGTGGGTGAGTGAGTGGGTGGGTGGGTGGGTCGGTGATTGTGTGGGTGGGTGGCTTTGGTGAGTGGTTGGGTAAGTGAGTGGGTGGGTGGGTGAGTGGGTGAGTGAGTGGGTGAGTGGGTGGGTGAGTGGGTGGGTGAGTGAGTGGGTGGGTGAGTGGGTGGGTGAGTGAGTGGGTGGGTGGCTTTGGTGAGTGGTTGGGTGAGTGAGTGGGTGAGTGGGTGGGTGAGTGGGTGAGTGGGTGAGTGAGTGGGTGAGTGGGTGGGTGGGTGGGTGAGTGGGTGAGTGAGTGGGTGGGTGAGTGAGTGAGTGGGTGAGTGAGTGAGTGAGTTAGTGGGTGGGTGAGTGAGTGAGTGAGTGGGTGAGTGGGTGAGTGAGCGAGTGGGTGGGTGAGTGGTTGGGTGAGTGAGTGAGTGGGTGGGTGAGTGAGTGAGTGAGTGGGTGGGTGGGTGAGTGAGTGAGTGGGTGGGTGAGTTAGTGAGTGGGTGGGTGAGTGGGTGGGTGAGTGAGTGGGTGGGTGAGTGGGTGGGTGAGTGAGTGGGTGGGTGGCTTTGGTGAGTGGTTGGGTGAGTGAGTGGGTGGGTGGGTGGGTGAGTGGGTGAGTGAGTGAGTGAGTGGGTGGGTGGGTGAGTTAGTGAGTGGGTGGGTGAGTGGGTGGGTGAGTGAGTAGGTGAGTTAGTGGGTGGGTGAGTGAGTGGGTGGGTGAGTGGGTGGGTGAGTGAGTAGGTGAGTTAGTGGGTGGGTGAGTGAGTGGGTGGGTGAGTGGGTGGGTGAGTGAGTGGGTGGGTGGGTGAGTGGGTGGGTGAGTGAGTGGGTGGGTGGGTGAGTGGGTAGGTGAGTTAGTGCGTGGGTGAGTGAGTGGGTGGGTGGGTGAGTGAGTGAGTGGGTGGGTGGGTGAGTGGGTGAGTGAGTGAGTGGGTGAGTGGGCGAGTGGGTGGATGGGTGAGTGGGTGGGTGAGTGAGTGGGTGGGTGGCTTTGGTGAGTGGTTGGGTGAGTGAGTGGGTGGGTGGGTGAGTGGGTGGGTGGGTGAGTGGGTGGGTGAGTGGGTGAGTGAGTGGGTGAGTGAATGGGTGAGTGGGTGAGTGGGTGAGTGAGTGAGTGGGTGAGTTGTCACTAGCCTCATAGTCTATGAGTCAATGCTATTCTACTTCAAATCCTCACCACCCCCCACGTGTCCCACACCCCACCCACCACCCCCTACAGCAGCGTGGAGCCCGCTGTGTTGGGGTCTCCGCGGCCCTCCGCGTGCCACGCGGCGTGCCGCTGCCCCTGGTGGCCACAGGCCCGGCCCGGCACGGCCCCCGTGTGCTCCACGTGGGGTGTCGAGTTCCCCAGCGCCTGCCTCGCCGGGTGCGTCCACAGGGACAGCGCCACGGGGGTGAGGGGGAGCGGGGGGGGGGGGCAGTCAAGGATGGAACGAGATGAGCCCGCCGTGACCCCGCCGTGACCCCAACACTTCCACCGTGACCCCACCCCTACCCACCCTGACCCCTCCCACCCTGACCCCACCCTGACCCCACTCTGACCCCACCCTGACCCCACCCTGACCCCACCCTGACCCCGCCCTGACCCCTCCCACCGTAACCCCTCCCACCCTGACCCCACCCCTCCCACCGTGACCCCTCCCACCCTGACCCCACCCTGACCCCTCCCCTCCCACCCTGACCCCTCCCACCTTGACCCCACCCTGACCCCACCCATCCTACCGTGACCCCACCCTCCCACCCTGACCCCTCACCTCCCACCGTGACCCCTCCCACCCTGACCCCACCGCTCCCACCCTAACCCCACCCCTCCCACCGTGCCCCCCATGACCCTTGACCCCTCCCACCGTGACCCCCCATGACCCTTGACCCCCCACCCCTACCCCCAGAGCTTCTCGTCTTGTTCCTGCGTGCCGGGCGAGGCAGCCGCCCGGCCGGGGCCGTGCCCCAGCGCCTGCCCCCACCTCCTCATCCCTGTCATGGCGCTGTGCTCGCTGGCAGGCCTCGTGGCCTGCCTGGCCTACACCCCGGGCTACATCCTCATCCTCAGGTGGGGGGGTGGTGGTGGGGGGAGTGGTGGGGGGGTGGTGGTGGTGGTGGGTGGGTGGGTACATCCTCATCCCTGTCATGGCGCTGTGCTCGCTGGCAGGCCTCGTGGCCTGCCTGGCCTACACCCCGGGCTACATCCTCATCCTCAGGTGGGGGGGTGGTGGTGGGGGGAGTGGTGGGGGGGTGGTGGTGGTGGTGGGTGGGTGGGTACATCCTCATCCCTGTCATGGCGCTGTGCTCGCTGGCAGGCCTCGTGGCCTGCCTGGCCTACACCCCGGGCTACATCCTCATCCTCAGGTGGGGGGAATGGTGGTGGGGGGAGTGGTGGGGGGGTGGTGGTGGTGGTGGTGGGTGGGTACATCCTCATCCCTGTCATGGCGCTGTGCTCGCTGGCAGGCCTCGTGGCCTGCCTGGCCTACACCCCGGGCTACATCCTCATCCTCAGGTGGGGGGAGTGGTGGGGGGGTGGTGGGGGGAGTGGTGGGGGGGTGGTGGTGGTGGGGGGAGTGGTGGGGGGTGGTGGTGGTGGGGGGGTACATCCTCATCCCTGTCATGGCGCTGTGCTCGCTGGCAGGCCTCGTGGCCTGCCTGGCCTACACCCCGGGCTACATCCTCATCCTCAGGTGGGGGGGTGGTGGTGGGGGGAGTGGTGGGGGGAGTGGTGGGGGGGTGGTGGTGGTGGTGGGGGGGTTCATCCTCATCCCTGTCATGGCGCTGTGCTCGCTGGCAGGCCTCGTGGCCTGCCTGGCCTACACCCCGGGCTACATCCTCATCCTCAGCTGGGGGGGTGGTGGTGGGGGGAGTGGTGGTGGTGGGGGGGTACATCCTCATCCTCAGGTGAGGTAGTGGGGGGAGTGGGGGGAGGGTGGGGGGGAGGGTGGGGGGGAGCTGTCCGGTAGACATCACACGCACCTAGCCTGGCACAGCGGTGGGCGGCTAAAGGGGTTAGACAGACCCAGCCCCCGTGTCTCTCCCCCCGTGTCTCACCCCCCGTGTCTCTCCCCCCGTGTCTCTCACCCCCGTGTCTCACCCCCGTGTCTCACCCCCCGTGTCTCTCTCCCCGTGTCTCCCCTCCCCCGTGTCTCTCCCCCCGTGTCTCTCCCCCCGTGTCTCTCCCCCCGTGTCTCACCCCCCGTGTCTCTCCCCCGTGTCTCTCTCCCCGTGTCTCTCCCCGTGTCTCTCCCCCCGTGTCTCACCCCCCGTGTCTCTCCCCCCGTGTCTCTCCCCCCGTGTCTCTCCCCCCGTGTCTCACCCCCCGTGTCTCTCCCCCGTGTCTCTCTCCCCGTGTCTCTCCCCGTGTCTCTCCCCCCGTGTCTCACCCCCCGTGTCTCTCCCCCCGTGTCTCTCCCCCCGTGTCTCTCCCCCCGTGTCTCACCCCCCGTGTCTCTCCCCCCGTGTCTCACCCCCCGTATCTCTCTCCCCGTGTCTCCCCTCCCCCGTGTCTCTCCCCCCGTGTCTCTCCCCCCGTGTCTCACCCCCCGTGTCTCTCCCCCGTGTCTCTCTCCCCGTGTCTCTCCCCGTGTCTCTCCCCCCGTGTCTCTCCCCCCGTGTCTCTCCCCCCGTGTCTCACCCCCCGTGTCTCTCCCCCCGTGTCTCTCCCCCCGTGTCTCTCCCCCCGTGTCTCTCCCCCCGTGTCTCACCCCCCGTGTCTCTCCCCCCGTGTCTCACCCAGCCCGTGTCTCACCCCCCGTGTCTCACCCCCCGTGTCTCACCCCCCGTGTCTCTCCCCCCGTGTCTCTCCCCCCGTGTCTCACCCAGCCCGTGTCTCACCCCCCGTGTCTCACCCCCCGTGTCTCACCCCCCGTGTCTCTCCCCCCGTGTCTCACCCCCCGTGTCTCACCCCCCGTGTCTCACCCCCCGTGTCTCACCCCCGTGTCTCACCCCCCGTGTCTCTCCCCCCGTGTCTCACCCCCCGTGTCTCACCCCCCCCCCCCCCGTGTCTCTCCCCCCGTGTCTCTCCCCCCGTGTCTCTCCCCCGTGTCTCTCCCCCTGTGTCTCACCCCCCCCCCCGTGTCTCACCCCCTGTGTCTCACCCCCCCCCCCGTGTCTCACCCCCCGTGTCTCACCCCCCCGTGTCTCATCCCCGTGTCTCACCCCCCATGTCTCACCCCCCGTGTCTCTCCCCCCGTGTCTCTCCCCCGTGTCTCACCCCCCGTGTCTCACCCCCCGTGTCTCACCCCCCCCGTGTCTCACCCCCCGTGTCTCTCCCCTCGTGTCTCTCCCCCCGTGTCTCTCCCCCCGTGTCTCTCCCCCGTGTCTCTCCCCCTGTGTCTCACCCCCCCCCCGTGTCTCACCCCCTGTGTCTCACCCCCCCCCCCGTGTCTCACCCCCTGTGTCTCACCCCCCCGTGTCTCATCCCCGTGTCTCACCCCCCATGTCTCACCCCCCGTGTCTCTCCCCCCGTGTCTCTCCCCCGTGTCTCACCCCCCGTGTCTCACCCCCCGTGTCTCACCCCCCCCGTGTCTCTCCCCTCGTGTCTCTCCCCCCGTGTCTCTCCCCCCGTGTCTCACCCCCCGTGTCTCACCCCCCGTGTCTCACCCCCCGTGTCTCTCCCCCCGTGTCTCCCCCCCCCCGTGTCTCACCCCCCATGTCTCACCCCCCGTGTCTCTCCCCCCGTGTCTCACCCCCCCGTGTCTCACCCCCCGTGTCTCACCCCCACCGTGTCTCTCCCCTCGTGTCTCTCCCCCCGTGTCTCACCCCCCGTGTCTCACCCCCCCCGTGTCTCTCCCCCCGTGTCTCTCCCCCCGTGTCTCACCCCCCGTGTCTCACCCCTCGTGTCTCCCCTCCCCCGTGTCTCACCCCCCGTGTCTCCCCCCCCGTGTCTCACCGCAGGGGAGTGAACAGTGAAGACAAATCCTTCGCTGTCGGGATCCAGTTCCTGCTGCTGAGACTGCTGGGTACGTGACCCTGCACTCGTTAGACAGAGACAGAGGCACATGTCCCACACAGGGAGACACAGAGAGACACACTGAGACACACAGAGACACACAGGGAGACACACACAGACACAGAGACACACAGAGACACACACAGAGACACACACAGACAGAGGCACATGTCCCACACAGAGACACACACAGAGAGACACACAGACACACAGAGACACACACAGAGAGACACACAGAGACACACAGACACACAGAGACACACACAAAAACACATACAGAGACACCCATAGAGACACACAGAGACACACACAGAAACACACACAGACAGAGACACACAGACAGAGACACACACAGAGACACACAGAGAAACACACAGAGAGACAAACAGAGACACTCACAGAGACAGACAGAGACACACACAGAGACACACACACAGAGGCACGCACAGAGACACACAGAGACACACACACAGAGACACACAGACACACACAGAGACACACAGAGACACGCACAGAGACACAGAAACACGCACAGAGACACGCACAAAGACACACACAGAAACACCCAGAGAGACACACAGAGAGACACACACAGAGACACACCCACAGAGACACACACAGAAACACGCACAGAGGGACACACACAGAGACACAGAGACACAAACAGAGGCACACACAGAGACACACACAGAAACAGGCACAGAGGAACACACACAGAGACACACACAGAGACAACAACCGCCATTCGCCACGAAGTAGCGGTGACGTCACCACGACGCTTGTGCCAGGCTATGTGCACCTTGAGGCCACGCGAAGTGTCGAACGCTCGCTGGCAGGAGGTCACGGGGCAGACCCAAGTGCCACGGGTCGACTGACTAAGTTGACTGAGATGACTGGCTGATGCACCACCTGTGCCCCCTACTGTGCCAACAGAGAGACACACATAGAGAGACACACACAGAGACACACAAACAGAGAGACACACACAGAGACACCCATAGAGACACACATAGAGACACACAGAGACACACACAGAGACACACACATAGACACACACACATAGACACACGTGTGTCCGGCAAAACAACCGCCTACCTCCTCGCGGTGCCGGACGGGCAACTCTGTCGTGGACAGTGCTGTGGGGGGAGGTCCAATTCCGATTGGCTCCTCCCCTCATGGCGTCTGTGACTACCACAGGGGCTAAACGGGGGCTCTGGACGGGTGCGAGGGGCTGGTAACCCCTCCACCTTCAAAAATTTACCACTAAACCACGTATAAAATATCTAACTAATAAGCTTGTGCCGGAGGCCCTGGGGGGACAGGCGTCTATGACGTCTCCTGGCCAAACCCCAATTGGCGGAGCCAGGAGATTGAATCTCTACCCTCGGGGCTCCTCCAGAAACAACGAAAAGCCACTACGGGTGGCCACGTGGAATGTTCGAACGCTCACTGCGGAGGAGAGGCTGCCACTCCTCTGTCGGGAGCTGGACCGGTACCGCCTGGATCTTGGTGGCATTCAGGAGGTCCGGTGGACCAGTTCTGGCTCCTGCCACCACGAGGGGTGAACAGTCCTCTACTCGGGGCAGCAGACTGTCAAACAACAGGGTGTGGCTCTTCTTATGAACAAAAGAATGAAGGGGGCGTGGGAGCGTGGCGGTGAGGTGTGGGAAGCTGTAAGCCCCAGGCTACTTTAGGCTCGCCTTCCCATCAATCGGAGGCGAGGATTGGTGGTCGTGGTTACTTATGCCCCCACTGAAGACGAACATCCGTGGAGGGATGCAGGCAAAGCCGATGAGTCAGATGCCTTCTATGACCTCCTGTCACAGGTGCTGGCTAAAGTGGCCCCTCGGGATAGAGTCATCTTGTTGGGTGACTTCAATGCCCGAGTTGGTCATGATGCTGGCACCTGGTCTGGAGCAATTGGAGGGCATGGGCCAGATCAGCTCAATAACAACAGTAGGAGGCTGCTAGATTTTTGTGCAGCACATGGGCTTGTAATTACCAACACGCTGTTCCGGCATCGGCGCATCCACACAACATCATGGATGCATGCCGGGTCCAAGCAAGAACATCTGCAGGACTACATAGTGATGGAACAGCGGATGCGAGCCCATATCCTTGACACCAGGACCTACAATGGAGCTGATCTACCCTCTGACCATCGACTTGTCATCTGTAAGATGCGCCTGCCATTCTTCTGCTCCGGTGGTGGGTGTACACCCAGGACCCCAGTCCAACCTAAAGTGGCCTGGTCTCAGTTATCTGATGAAAATTGCAAGCAAGAATTCCATCATCGCCTGCGGCTGGGGTTGGCATCGTCCCCCACTCCTCCGGATGTCGAGGGTAAATGGGTGAGGTTTAGGACTGTCACTTATGCAGCTGCATTGGCTGCTTTGGGTACGGGGTCTAGACCTCCCCAGAGACCCTGGCTGACAGAGGTGTTCAGGATGGTTGAGAAAAAGCGACAGGCCCACTGTCATCGGCTACAGAATCTCACGTCAGAGAATGAGGAGGCTTACCGCAGCCTTCGCTCGGAGGTTCGGAGAGCCGTGAGGCGCTGCAAGGATGGGTGGTGGTCGCGGGTTGCTGAGGAGATGGAGTCTGCCTCAGTGGCCCGCAATCACAAATCTCTATTTAACTCTATCAAAAAAGTAACCTGCAGCGCCACACCTATTACCATCATTAGGGGAAAAAACGGTGTTCCAATCTCCGACACACAGGAACAGGTTTGCAGATTTTCTGAGCATTTCTGTGAGGTCCTGGGGGAAGGACAATCCCTCAGCCAGGAAAACATCGTGGCACAAAGTGACGATGACCCTGCTGAGGCTGCGGTGCCTCAAATATTGGAAGAAGTCACCCCCTGTAAGTGTCTGGCTGAGGTGCCATCTGTTGAGGAAGTACTGAGGGCGATCCAGAGTCTGAGACCAGGAAAGGCAGCGGGCAGAGATGATCTCCCAAGCGAAATGATTGAGGGAGGGTGGTGTTTGTGCACAAACTGCCCTATATGACATAACAACAGTCTGGACCACTGGACGGGTTCCGCAGGATTGGAAGGATGCCCTGGTGGTCCCCCTCTTTAAGAAGGGGGACTGTACAGACTGTAACAACTACAGGGGCATCTCACTCCTCAGTGTGCCGGGAAAGGTCCTTGCAAGGATTATTCAACATCGCCTTGCCAGGCACGCTGAGGAGAGGCTTGCGGAGCCCCAATGCGGTTTCAGGAAAGGGCGGTCCTGCACAGATGCCATATTTTCTGTCCGTCAGCTACAGCAGGGGTGTAGGGAATTCCAGCAAGGCCTACATCTCTGCTTTATTGACCTGGTTAAGGCCTATGATACCATCAGTAGGCCTGGGCTCTGGGTTGTTCTTCGTGCTTTTGGAGTACCTGACCCTCTGCTCACGATCATTAAGGACCTTCATGATGGTGAGCGGGCCCGGGTAAAACTACGTGGCCGGGAGTCAGAGCCATTCCCTGTACACCTTGGGGTGCGACAGGGATGTCCTCTGGCTCCCACATTATTTAACATCTATTTTGACCACGTAGTTCGTGAAGCCTTCAATATCTGTACCGGGGGAATCTCCATATGGTACAGATATAATGGTAGGCTGATCGATGCCCGGGTGCGGTCAAGGGATGGCTCCCTATTGCTCAACCACGTTATGTATGCCGATGATTTGGTAATAGCTGCTCATTCAGAGGAGGAGTTGGAGACGCTACTGCTGAGACTGGAGCGTTCCACTAAGAGATGGGGCCTTACCATCAGCCCCACCAAGACTAAGCACCAGCCTGGGTATTTTGTACCATCGGACACTCCACCCCCACATCTCCCAATCGGTGATGGGGCAGTTGTGGAGAGAGTGGAGAGTTTCCCATACCTGGGAAACCGGCTCCAGTTTAACAGCAGAGGTCTCACTCCGAATCAGTTGAGCGGCAATATCTTTTCATCGGTTGCGTAATGCTGTGTGGACGCTACCTGGTTTGTCGCTCCACACTAAGCTTCAGGTCTTCTCGGCCACGGTCATTCCCTCCCTCCTCTACGCTTGCGAAACGTGGATTCCCCTAATGGAACATCTTCGCCGGTTATAAACATTTAGGTTAGCCTGCCTACGATCCATCCTGGGGTTAACCAGGCTGGATTGTGTGAGGAGCTCACAAATCCTTGAAAGATCTGGGCAAGGTCCCATCAGTGAGCTCCTCCGGCAGGCAAGGCTGCGATGGCTGGGTAATGTAGCCCGCATGCCCAGCCACCGCATGCCGAAACAGCTTTTGTTCGGCTGGATCGAGGGGGCTAAACGGGCGCGGCACGGGCTAGAGAAGAGATGGAGTGATGTGGTACAGGAGGACGTGGAGCTGAGTGGACTTGCCCATGACTGGTACCAGCGGTGTCAAGATCGGCCTCTGTGGAGGAGGCTCGTGAAGGATGCTACTGGGCAGTTGGAGGCAGTCGCCCTCCAACAACAACGGAGGGCGGAGGAGCGACGCTCACAACAACGAGCGGAGCGCCGGGTGGCTAAAGCACAGCAGGTTGGCACAGTAGGGGGCACAGGTGGTGCATCAGCCAGTCATCTCAGTCAGTCGACCCGTGGCACCTGCTGGGTCTGCCCAGTGACCTCCTGCCAGCGGGCGTTCGACACTTCACGTGGCGTCAAGGTGCACATGGCCTGGCACAAGCGTCGTGGTGACGTCACCGCCACTTAGTGGCGAATGGCGGTTGTTGTTGTCTGTGTGTGTGTCTCTGTGTGTCTCTATATGTGTGTGTGTGTCTCTGTGTGTGTCTATGTGTGTGTCTGTGTGTGTATGTGCGTATGTGTATGTCTGTCTCTGTGTGTGTGTCTCTGTGTGTGTCTCTGTGTGTGTCTATGTGTGTATGTGTGTGTCTATGTATGTGTGTCTCTGTGTGTGTCTATGTGTCTATGTGTGTGTGTGTCTCTGTGTGTGTCTGTGTGTGTGTGTCTATGTGTGTGTGTCTGTGTGTGTGTGTCTCTGTGTGTGTGTCTCTGTGTGTGTCTCTGTGTGTGTCTCTGTGTGTGTGTCTCTGTGTGTGTCTCTGTGTGTGTCTATGTGTGTATGTGTGTGTCTATGTATGTGTGTCTCTGTGTGTGTCTATGTGTCTATGTGTGTGTGTGTCTCTGTGTGTGTCTGTGTGTGTGTGTCTGTGGGTGTGTGTCTATGTGTGTATGTGTGTGTCTATGTATGTGTGTCTCTGTGTGTGTCTATGTGTGTGTGTGTCTCTGTGTGTGTCTATGTGTCTATGTGTGTGTGTGTCTCTGTGTGTGTCTGTGTGTGTGTGTCTATGTGTGTGTGTCTATGTGGTACAGCGTGGCTCCCTGCCCCGGCTCTATTTGGCCTCCTCATCGACTCGTCGTGTCTCGTCTGGACCGAGTCTTGCCACGCGGTGCGAGGAGCCTGCAAATACTACGACAACGATGCCCTGCGCACGCGGTACACGAAGACACACGCACACAGACACACACAAACACATACACACACACAGACACACACAGACACACACACAGACACACACAGACACACATACATACAGAGACACACACAGACACACAGACACACACACACACACATACACACACACAGACACACACATACACACACACATACACAGACACACACACACAGACACACAGACACACATACAGACACACATACACACACAGACACACACATACATACACACACAGACACACACAGAGAGACACACACAGAGACACACACACAGACACACACACATACACACAGACAGACACACACAGACACACACATAGACACACACACACACATACACACACACAAAGACACACACACGCACAGACACACACACATTGACACACACATACACATACACACAGACACACACATACACACACACAAAAACACACTAACACATACACACAGACAGACACACACAGACACACACACACACAGACACACAGACACACATACACACACAGACACACACATACATACAACAACAACAACCGCCATTCGCCACTAAGTGGCGGTGACGTCACCACGACGCTTGTGCCAGGCTATGTGCACCCTGAGGCCACGTGAAGTGTCGAACGCCCGCTGGCAGGAGGTCACGGGGCAGACCCAGGTGCCACGGGTCGACTGACTGAGATGACTGGCTGATGCACCACCTGTGCCCCCTACTGTGCCAATCTGCTGTGCTTTAGCCACCCGGCGCTCCGCTCGTTGTTCTGAGCGTCGCTCCTCCGCCCTCCGTTTTGTTGTTGGAGGACGACTACCTCAAACTGCCCAGTAGCATCCTTCACGAGCCTCCTCCACAGAGGCCGATCTTCACACCGCTGGTACCAGTCATCGGCAAGTCCACTCAGCTCCACGTCCTCCTGTACCACATCACTCCATCTTTTCTCTAGCCCATGCCGCGCCCGCTTAGCCCCCTCAATCCGGCCGTACAAAAGCTGTTTCGGCATGCGGTGGCTGGGCATGCGGGCTACATGACCCAGCCATCGCAGCCTTGCCCGCCGGAGGAGCTCACCGATGGGACCTTGCCCAGATCTTTCAAGGATTTGTGAGCTCCTCACACAATCCAGTCTGGTTAAACCCAGGATGGATCGTAGGCAGGCCAGCCTAAATGTTTCTAACCAGCGAAGATGTTCCATTAGGGGGGTCCACGTTTCGCAAGCGTAGAGAACGGAGGGAATGACCGTGGCCGAGAAGACCTCAAGCTTAGTGCGGAGCGACAGACCAGGTGGCTTCCACACAGCGTTACGCAACCGATGAAAAGATATTGCCGCTCGACTGATTCGGAGTGAGATCTCTGCTGTTAAACTGGAGCCAGTCATAAGCACACTGCCCAGGTATGGGAAATTCTCCACTCTCTCCACAACTGCCCCATCACCGATTGGGAGTTGTGGGGGTGGAGTGTCCGATGGTACAAAATACCCAGGCAGGTGCTTAGTTTTGGTGGGGCTGATGGTAAGGCCCTACCTCTTAGTGGCACGCTCCAGTCTCAGCAGCAGCATCTCCAACTCCTCCTCTGACTGAGCAGCTATTACCAAATCATCAGCATACATAACGTGATTGAGCAATAGGGAGCCATCCCTTGACCGCACCCGGGCATCGATCAGCCTCCCATTATATCTGTACCATATGGAGATTCCCCCGGTACAGCTATTGAAGGCTTCACGAACTACGTGGTCAAAATAGATGTTAAATAATGTGGGAGCCAGAGGACATCCCTGTCGCACCCCAAGGTGTACAGGGAATGGCTCTGACTCCCGGCCACTTAGTTTTACCCGGGCGCGCTCACCATCATGAAGGTCCTTAATGATCGTGAGCAGAGGGTCAGGTACTCCAAAAGCACGAAGAACGACCCAGAGCCCAGGCCTACTGATGGTATCATAGGCCTTGACCAGGTCAATAAAGCAGAGATGTAGGTCTTGTTGGAATTCCCTACACCTCTGCTGTAGCAGACGGACAGAAATATGGCATCTGTGCAAGACCGCCCTTTGCTGAAACCGCATTGGGGCTCCGCAAGCTTCTCCTCAGCGTTCCTGGCAAGGCGATGCTGAATAATCCTTGCCAGGACCTTTCCCGGCACACTGAGGAGTGAGATTCCCCTGTAGTTGTTACAGTCTGTGCGGTCCCCCTTCTTAAAAAGGGGGATCCATCAGGGCATCCTTCCAATTCTTAGAACCCGTCCAGTGGTCCAGACCGTTTTTATGATGTCATATAGGGCAGTCTGTTCACAAACGCCACCCTCCCTCAGCATTTCGCTTGGGAGATTATCTCTGCCCGCTGCCTTTCCTGGTCTCAGACTCCGGATCGCCTTCAGTACTTCCTCAACAGATGGCACCTCAGCCAGCCACTCACAGGGGGTGACTTCTTCCAATATTTGAGGCACCGCAGCCACAGCAGGGTCATCATCACTTTGTGCCACGATGCTTTCCTGGCTGAGGGATATTCCCTCCCCCAGGACCTCACAGAAATGCTCAGCAAATCTGCAAACCTGTTCCTGGGGTCGGAGATTGGATCATCGTTTTTTTCCCTAATGATGGTAATAGGTGTGGCGCTGCAGGTTACTTTTTTGATGGCGTTAAATAGAGATTTGTGATCACGGGCCACTGAGGCAGACTCCATCTCCTCAGCAACCCGCGACCACCACCCATCCTTGCAGCGCCTCACGGCTCTCCGAACCTCCGAGCGAAGGCTGCGGTAATCCTCATTCTCTGACGTGGGATTCTGTAGCCGATGATAGTGGGCCTGTCGCTTTTTCTCAACCATCCTGAACACCTCCTCTGTCAGCCAGGGTCTCTGGGGAGGTCTGGACCGCGTACCCAAAGCAGCCATTGCAGCTGCATGAGTCACAGTCCTAAACCTCGCCCATTTTCCCTCGACATCAGGAGGAGTCGGGGACGATGCCAATCCCAGCCGCAAGCGTTGATGAAATTCTCGCTTGCAATTTTCATTAGATAACTGAGACCAGGCCACTTTAGGTTGGAATTCGGTCCTGAGTGTACACCCACCACCGGAGTGGAAGAATGGCAGGCGCATCTTACAAATGACTAGTCGATGGTCAGAGGGCAGATCAGCTCCACGGTAGGTCCTTGTGTCAAGGACATGGGCTCGCATTCGCTGGTCCATCACTATGTAGTCCAGCAGATGTTCTTGCTTGGACCCGGCATGCATCCATGATGTTGTGTGGATGCGCCGATGCCGGAACAGCGTGTTGGTAATTACAATCCCATGGGCTGCACAAAAATCTAGCAGCCTCCTACCGTTGTTATTGAGCTGATCTGGCCCATGCCCTCCAATCACTCCAGACCAGGTGCCAGTATCATGACCAACTCGGGCATTGAAGTCACCCAACAAGATGACTCTATCCCTAGGGGCCACTTTAGCCAGCACCTGTGACAGGCGGTGATAGAAGGCATCTGACTCATCGGCTTTGGCTGCATCCCTCCACAGATGTTCATCTTCGGGGGGGTCATAAGTAACCACGACCGCCATTCCTCGCCTCCGGTTGATGGGAAGGCGAGCCCAAAGTAGCCTGGGGCTTGCAGCTTCCCACACCTCACCGCCACGCTCCCACGCCCCCTTCATTTTGTTCAAAAGAAGAGCCACACCCTGTTGTTTGGCAGTCTGCTGCCCCGAGTAGAGGACTGTCCACCCCTCATGGTGGCAGGAGCCAGAGCCGGTCCACCGGACCTCCTGAATGCCACAGAGATCCAGGCGGTACCGGTCCAGCTCCCGACAGAGGAGTGGCAGCCTCTCCTCCGCAGTGAGCGTTCGAACATTCCACGTGGCCACGCGTAGTGGCTTTTCGTTGTTTCTGGAGGAGCCCCGAGGGTAGATATTCAATCTCCTGGCTCCGCCAATTGGGGTTTGGCCAGGAGACGTCATAGACGCCTGGCCCCCCGGGGCCTCCGGCACAAGCTTATTAGTTACATATTTCAGTTTAACTCGTGGTTTCGTGGTAATTAAATGAAGGTGGAGGGTTACCAGCCCCTCGCACCCGTCCAGAGCCCCCGTTTAGCCCCTGTGGTGGACACATATGCCATGAGGGGAGCCAATCAAAATTGGATCTCCCCCCACCGCACTGTCCACGACAGAGTTGCCCGTCCGGCGCCGCGACGAGGTAGGGGGTTGTTTTTGCCGGACTACATACATACACACACACATAGACACACACGCAGAGACACACACAGAGACACACACACAGACACACACACATACACACACAGACACACACGTAGACAAACACATACACACATACACACACATACATACACACACACACAGAGACACACAGACAGACACACACACACATAGACACACACACACATAGACACACACACACAGACACACACACAACAACAATAACAACAACAACCGCCATTCGCCACTAAGTGGCGGTGACGTCACCACGACGCTTGTGCCAGGCTATGTGCACCCTGAGGCCACGTGAAGTGTCGAACGCCCGCTGGCAGGAGGTCACGGGGCAGACCCAGGTGCCACGGGTCGACTGACTGAGATGACTGGCTGATGCACCACCTGTGCCCCCTACTGTGCCAACCTGCTGTGCTTTAGCCACCCGGCGCTCCGCTCGCTGTTGTGAGCGTCGCTCCTCCGCCCTCCGTTGTTGTTGGAGGGCGACTGCCTCCAACTGCCCAGTAGCATCCTTCACGAGCCTCCTCCACAGAGGCCGATCTTGACACCGCTGGTACCAGTCATCGGCAAGTCCACTCAGCTCCACGTCCTCCTGTACCACATCACTCCATCTCTTCTCTAGCCCGTGCCGCGCCCGTTTAGCCCCCTCGATCCGGCCGAACAAAAGCTGTTTCGGCATGCGGTGGCTGGGCATGCGGGCTACATGAACCAGCCAACGCAGCCTTGCCTGCCGGAGGAGCTCACCGATGGGACCGTGCCCAGATCTTTCAAAGATTTGTGAGCTCCTCACACAATCCAGCCTGGTTAAGCCCAGGATGGATCGTAGGCAGGCTAGCCTAAAGGTTTCTAACCGGCAAAGATGTTTCATTAGGGGGGTCCACGTTTCGCAAGCGTAGAGAAGGGAGGGAATGACCGTGGCCGAGAAGACCTGAAGCTTTGTGCGGAGCAACAGACCAGGTAGCTTCCACACAGCGTTACGCAACCGATGAAAAGATGTTGCCGCTCGATTGATTCGGAGTGAGACCTCTGCTGTTAAACTGGAGCCAGTCATAAGCACACTTCCCAGGTATGGGAACACTCTCTCCACAACTGCCCCATCACCGATTGGGAGTTGTGGGGGTGGAGTGTCCGATGGTACAAAATACCCAGGCAGGTGCTTAGTTTTGGTGGCGCTGATGGTAAGGCCCCACCTCTTAGTGGCACGCTCCAGTCTCAGTAGCAGCGTCTTCAACTCCTCCTCTGAATGAGCAGCTATTACCAAATCATCGGCATACATAGTGTGGTCGAACAATAGGGAGCCATCCCTTGACCGCACTCGGGCATCGATCAGCCTCCCATTATATTTGTACCATATGGAGATTCCCCCGGTACAGCTATTGAAGGCTTCACGAACTACGTGGTCAAAATAGATGTTAAATAATGTGGGAGCCAGACGACATCCCTGTCGCACCCCAAGGTGTACAGGAAATGGCTCTGACTCATGGCCACGTAGTTTTACCCGGGCCCGCTCAGCATGTTATGATGTCATATAGGGCAGTCTGTGCACAAACACCACCCTCCCTCAATCATTTCGCTTGGGAGATCAACTCTGCCCGGTGCCTTTCCTGGTCTCAGACTCCGGATCGCCTTCAGTACTTCCTCAACAGATGGCACTTCAGCCAGCCACTGACAGGGGGTGACTTCTTCCAATATTTGAGGCACCGCAGCCTCAGCAGGGTCATCCCCACTTTGTGCCACGATGTTTTCCTGGCTAAGGGGTTTCCCCTCCCCCAGGACCTCACAGAAATGCTCAGCAAATCTGCAAACCTGTTCCTGGGTGTCGGAGATTGGAACACCGTTTTTCCCCCTAATTATGGTAATAGGTGTGGCGCTGCAGGTTACTTTTTTGATGGAGTTAAATAGAGATTTGTGATCGCGGCCACTGAGGCAGACTCCATCTCCTCAGCAACCCGCGACCACCACCCATCCTTGCAGCGCCTCACGGCTCTCCGAACCTCCGAGCGAAGGCTGCGGTTATCCTCCTGATTCTCTGACGTGGAATTCTGTAGCTGATGACAGTGGGCCTGTCGCTTTTTCTCAATTATCCTGAACACCTCCTCTGTCAGCCAGGGTCTCTGGGGAGGTCTGGACCGCATACCCAAAGCAGCCATTGCAGCTGCATGAGTCACAGTCCTAAACCTCGCCCATTTACCCTCGACATCAGGAGGAGTGGGGGACGATGCTAACCTCAGCTGCAAGCGATGATGAAATTCAGGCTTGCAACTTTTATCAGCTGAGACCAGGCCACTTTAGGTTGCAATGGGGTCCTGGGTGTACACCCACCACCGGAGTGGAAGAATGGCAGGCGCATCTTACAGATAACTAGTCTATGGTCAGAGGGCAGATCAGCTCCACTGTGGGTCCTGGTGTCAAGGACATGGGCTCTCATCCGCTGGTCCGTCACTATGTAGTCCGGCAGATGTTCTTGCTTGGACCCGGCATGCATCCATGATGTTGTGTGGATGCGCCGATGCCGGAACAGCGTGTTGGTAATTACAAGCCCATGGGCTGCACAAAAATCTAGCAGCCTCCTACCGTTGTTATTGAGCTGAGCTGGCCCATGCCCTCCAATCACTCCAGACCAGGTGCCAGCATCATGACCAACTCGGGCGTTGAAGTCACCCAACAAGATGACTCTATCCCGAGGGGCCACTTTAGCTAGCACCTGTGAAAGGAGGTCATACATGGCATCTTACTCATCAGCTTTGCCTGCATCCCTCCAAGGATGTTCGTCTTTGGTGGGGCATTAGTAACCACGACCACCACTCCTCGCCTCCGGTTGATGGGAAGGTGAGCCCAAAGTAGCCTGGGGCTTACAGCTTCCCACACCTCACCGCCACGCCCCCTTCATTCTTTTGTTCAGAAGAAGAGCCACATCCTGTTGTTTGGCAGTCTGCTGCCCCGAGTTGAGGACTGACCACCCTTCATGGTGGCAGGAGCCAGAGCCGGTCCACCGGACCTCCTGAATGCCACCGAGATCCAGGCGGTACCGGTCCAGCTCCTGACAGAGGAGTGGCAGCCTCTCCTCCGCAGTGAGCGTTCGAACATTCCACGCGGCCACACCAAGTGGCTTTTCGTTGTTTCTGGAGGAGCCCCGAGGGTAGAGATTCAATCTCCTGGCTCCGCCAAAAGGGGTTTCGCCAGGAGACAACATATACGCCTGTCCCCCCAGGGCCTCCGGCACAAGCTTATTAGTTACATTTTTCAGTTTAACTCGTTGTTTAGTGGTAATTGATTGAAGGTGGAGGGGTTACCAGCCCCTCTCACCCATCCAGAGCCCCCGTTTAGCCACTGTGGTGGTCACAGACGCCATGAGGGGAGAGGCCACACCCAGATACACACACCCACCAACTCACTCACCCACCAACTCACTCACCCACCAACTCACTCACCAACCCACCAATTCACTCACCCACCCACCAACTCAACCACCCACCAACTCACTCACCCACCCACCAACTTACTCACCTACCCACCAACTCAACCACCCACCAGCTCACACACCCACCCACCAGTTCACTCACCCACCCACCAACCCACCCACACAACCCACCCATCTTCCCACTAACTCACCCACCGACTCACCCACCCACTCACCAACTCACTCACCAACTCACCCACCCACTAACTCACTCACCCACTCACCCACTCACCCACTCACCCAACAACCCACCAACCCACCCACTCACTCACTCACCGACTCACCCACTAACTCACCCACCCACTCACCCACTCACTCACTCACCCACCCACTCACCCACCCACTCACCCACCCACCCACCCACTCACCCACCCACCCACCCACCCACCAACCCACTCACCCACTCACCCACCAACTCACTCACCCACCCACCCACCCACCCACCGACTCACCCACCCACTCACCAACTCACCCACCAACTCACTCACCCACCCACTCACCAACCCACCCACCAACCCACCCACTAACCCACCCACTAACTCACCCACCGACTCACCCACCCACCCACCCACTAACTCACCCACCCACCCACCCACTAACTCACCCACCCACCCACCCACCAACCCACCCACCCACCACTCCCTCTCACATCCCCAACTCTCTCCACCACACCACCCACCCTCCGCCCCGTCCCCCAGCTACTGGAGCCTCCAGTTGGCTCTGAAGTTCTTGGCCCTGTCTCTCTTCTCCGTCGTGCTGGTGCGGGTTCGCCGGCGTCGCCGACGGAGTCTCCGCGCCGGCGCCGCCGCCGGCGCCGCCACCACCGGCGCCACCGCCGGCGCCGCCGGAGGCCTCCCCATGGGGTCACTCCTCTCGAAGGCCGAGCTCGGCGGAGAGGGGGCAAGGCCGCTGATGGCGGCGGATGACGATGGCGGGGTGGAGGACCGGAGCGACCACAAGGAGTGAACCCGGGGGGTGGGTGGGGGGGTGGTGGTGGGGGGTGGTGGTGGGGGGTGGTGGTGGGGGGGGGGTGGTGGGTGGGGGGTGGTGGTGGGGGGGGGTGGGGGGAGTCACATCAAGATACGAAACCAGATGGCTGCCAGATACAACGATCGTAAGATGGGTACCGGATATTCCCATCGCATACAGAGACGACCCAGATTCTGATTGTAATGATAGGACCCAGACTCTGATTGTAATGATAGGACCCAGACACTGATTGTAATGATACGACCCAGACACTGATTGTAATGATAGGACCCAGACTCTGATTGTAATGATACGACCCAGACACTGATTGTAATGATAGGACCCAGACACTGATTTTAATGATACGACCCAGACACTGATTGTAATGATAGGACCCAGACTCTGATTGTAATGATACGACCCAGACACTGATTGTAATGATAGGACCCAGACACTGATTTTAATGATACGACTCAGACACTGATTGTAATGATACGACCCAGACTCTGATTGTAATGATACGACCCAGATACTGATTGTAATGATAGGACCCAGACACTGATTGTAATTATAGGACCCAGACACTGATTGTAATGATAGGACCCAGACACTGATTGTAATGATACGACCCAGACACTGATTGTAATAATAGGACCCAGACACTGATTGTAATGATATGACCCAGGCACTGATTGTAATGATAGGACCCAGACTCTGATTGTAATGATAGGACCCAGACTCTGATCATAATGATAGGACCCAGACACTGATTGTAATGATAGGACCCAGACTCTGATTGTAATGATAGTACCCAGACACTGATTGTAATGATAGGACCCAGACTCTGATTGTAATGATAGGACCCAGACTCTGATTGTAATGATAGGACCCAGACTCTGATCGTAATGATAGGACCCAGACACTGATTGTATTGATATGACCCAGATACTGATTGTAATGATAGGACCCAGACACTGATCGTAATGATACGACCCAGACACTGATTGTAATGATACGACCCAGACACTGATTGTAATGATAGGACCCAGACTCTGATTGTATTGATAGGACCCAGACTCTGATCGTAATGATAGGACCCAGACACTGATCGTAATGATAGGACCCAGACTCTGATTGTAATGATAGGACCCAGACTCTGATCGTAATGATAGGACCCAGACACTGATCGTAATGATAGGACCCAGACTCTGATTGTAATGATAGGACCCAGACACTGATCGTAATGATAGGACCCAGACACTGATCGTAATGATAGGACCCAGACTCTGATTGTAATGATACGACCCAGACACTGATTGTAATGATACGACCCAGACACTGATTGTAATGATAGGACCCAGACAATGATCGTAATGATAGGACCCAGACTCTGATTGTAATGATAGGACCCAGACTCTGATTGTAATGATAGGACCCAGACTCTGATTGTAATGATAGGACCCAGACTCTGATCGTAATGATAGGACCCAGACTCTGATCGTAATGATACGACCCAGACACTGATTGTAATGATATAACCCAGACACTGATCTAAGATATGACTCAGTCACTGATTGTAATGATAGGACCCAGACACTGATTGTAATGATACGACCCAGACTCTGATCGTAATGATAGGACCCAGATACTGATTGTAATGATAGGACTCAGACACTGATTGTAATGATAGGACCCAGACACTGATTGTAATGATAGGACCCAGACTGATTGTAATGATACGACCCAGACACTGATCGTAATGATAGGACCCAGACACTGATTGTAATGATACGACCCAGACACTGATTGTAATGATAGGACCCAGACACTGATTGTAATGATACGACCCAGACACTGATCGTAATGATAGGACCCAGACACTGATTGTAATGATACGACCCAGACACTGATTGTAATGATAGGACCCAGACTCTGATTGTAATGATACGACCCAGACACTGATTGTAATGATAGGACCCAGACACTGATTTTAATGATACGACCCAGACACTGATTGTAATGATAGGACCCAGACTCTGATTGTAATGATACGACCCAGACACTGATTGTAATGATAGGACCCAGACACTGATTTTAATGATACGACTCAGACACTGATTGTAATGATACGACCCAGACTCTGATTGTAATGATACGACCCAGATACTGATTGTAATGATAGGACCCAGACACTGATTGTAATTATAGGACCCAGACACTGATTGTAATGATAGGACCCAGACACTGATTGTAATGATACGACCCAGACACTGATTGTAATGAATAGGACCCAGACACTGATTGTAATGATATGACCCAGGCACTGATTGTAATGATAGGACCCAGACTCTGATTGTAATGATAGGACCCAGACTCTGATCATAATGATAGGACCCAGACACTGATTGTAATGATAGGACCCAGACTCTGATTGTAATGATAGTACCCAGACACTGATTGTAATGATAGGACCCAGACTCTGATTGTAATGATAGGACCCAGACTCTGATTGTAATGATAGGACCCAGACTCTGATCGTAATGATAGGACCCAGACACTGATTGTATTGATATGACCCAGATACTGATTGTAATGATAGGACCCAGACACTGATCGTAATGATACGACCCAGACACTGATTGTAATGATACGACCCAGACACTGATTGTAATGATAGGACCCAGACTCTGATTGTATTGATAGGACCCAGACTCTGATTGTAATGATAGGACCCAGACTCTGATCGTAATGATAGGACCCAGACACTGATCGTAATGATAGGACCCAGACTCTGATTGTAATGATAGGACCCAGACACTGATCGTAATGATAGGACCCAGACACTGATCGTAATGATAGGACCCAGACTCTGATTGTAATGATACGACCCAGACACTGATTGTAATGATACGACCCAGACACTGATTGTAATGATAGGACCCAGACAATGATCGTAATGATAGGACCCAGACTCTGATTGTAATGATAGGACCCAGACTCTGATTGTAATGATAGGACCCAGACTCTGATTGTAATGATAGGACCCAGACTCTGATCGTAATGATAGGACCCAGACTCTGATCGTAATGATACGACGCAGACACTGATTGTAATGATATAACCCAGACACTGATCTAAGATATGACTCAGTCACTGATTGTAATGATAGGACCCAGACACTGATTGTAATGATACGACCCAGACTCTGATCGTAATGATAGGACCCAGATACTGATTGTAATGATAGGACTCAGACACTGATTGTAATGATAGGACCCAGACACTGATTGTAATGATAGGACCCAGACTGATTGTAATGATACGACCCAGACACTGATCGTAATGATAGGACCCAGACACTGATTGTAATGATACGACCCAGACACTGATTGTAATGATAGGACCCAGACACTGATTGTAATGATACGACCCAGACACTGATCGTAATGATAGGACCCAGACACTGATTGTAATGATACGACCCAGACACTGATTGTAATGATAGGACCCAGACTCTGATTGTAATGATACGACCCAGACACTGATTGTAATGATAGGACCCAGACACTGATTTTAATGATACGACCCAGACACTGATTGTAATGATAGGACCCAGACTCTGATTGTAATGATACGACCCAGACACTGATTGTAATGATAGGACCCAGACACTGATCTAAGATATGACTCAGACACTGATTGTAATGATACGACCCAGACTCTGATTGTAATGATACGACCCAGATACTGATTGTAATGATAGGACCCAGACACTGATTGTAATTATAGGACCCAGACACTGATTGTAATGATAGGACCCAGACACTGATTGTAATGATACGACCCAGACACTGATTGTAATAATAGGACCCAGACACTGATTGTAATGATATGACCCAGGCACTGATTGTAATGATAGGACCCAGACTCTGATTGTAATGATAGGACCCAGACTGATCATAATGATAGGACCCAGACACTGATTGTAATGATAGGACCCAGACTCTGATTGTAATGATAGTACCCATACACTGATTGTAATGATAGGACCCAGACTCTGATTGTAATGATAGGACCCAGACTCTGATTGTAATGATAGGACCCAGACTCTGATCGTAATGATAGGACCCAGACACTGATTGTAATGATATGACCCAGATACTGATTGTAATGATAGGACCCAGACACTGATCGTAATGATACGACCCAGACACTGATTGTAATGATACGACCCAGACACTGATTGTAATGATAGGACCCAGACTCTGATTGTATTGATAGGACCCAGACTCTGATCGTAATGATAGGACCCAGACACTGATCGTAATGATAGGACCCAGACTCTGATTGTAATGATAGGACCCAGACTCTGATCGTAATGATAGGACCCAGATACTGATCGTAATGATAGGACCCAGACTCTGATTGTAATGATAGGACCCAGACACTGATCGTAATGATAGGACCCAGACACTGATCGTAATGATAGGACCCAGACTCTGATTGTAATGATACGACCCAGACTCTGATTGTAATGATACGACCCAGACACTGATTGTAATGATAGGACCCAGACAATGATCGTAATGATAGGACCCAGACTCTGATTGTAATGATAGGACCCAGACTCTGATTGTAATGATAGGACCCAGACTCTGATTGTAATGATAGGACCCAGACTCTGATCGTAATGATAGGACCCAGACTCTGATCGTAATGATACGACCCAGACACTGATTGTAATGATATAACCCAGACACTGATCTAAGATATGACTCAGTCACTGATTGTAATGATAGGACCCAGACACTGATTGTAATGATACGACCCAGACTCTGATCGTAATGATAGGACCCAGATACTGATTGTAATGATAGGACTCAGACACTGATTGTAATGATAGGACCCAGACACTGATCGTAATGATAGGACCCAGACACTGATCGTAATGATAGGACCCAGACTCTGATTGTAATGATAGGACCCAGACTCTGATTG